CCTCTTCTCTTCTCCTCTCTCGGTCAAATATTAAAGTGAACCAACTTTAATTAATCCAAATCTTTTATCAACACTTTATTAGCCAAACTATATGTTTTTAGTACTCTCTAAGCTATAGGTCCAAGTGCATCTAGAATTCTAAATTAATTTCTAATGCAATATTTTAAAAAAAACTTTTAAAAATCTTGCAACGTTACTCATACCATTAGTAAAAATTAATTTTAACAATTACAGTTGATTAAAAAATAATAGAATGATTTTAAAAGTTACAAACAATGATCTAAAAAAATTACAAAAAAGAAAAAGAATGATTAAAAAATATTTTTGCCCCTCAACTATTCATTCAGGAGTATTTGATATCTTAAACTTTTATGTGGTGAAATTTGGCCCTTCAAATTTTGAAAATGATACACTAAACACCTTGCTATTAAAGAGATAATTTTGACTGTTAGTTTAACAATAAAATAACAAAAAAAAACTCATAAAATTATAAATAAGTACTCTGTAAGAAAATTAATATTAATTAAGCATATAAAGTAATGGCTGGCCAAAATCATAGCTTGGCCTTTAAATGGGTCAGAAATAAAATTTATATCATGTTATTTATATGTAACTTAGGAGAATTAAATGATGTTAATTTTTTTATAAGATACTTATGTGTAATTTTTGAGATTTTTTTAATTTTTAAATTAACTAACAGTCAAAATTAACTTTTTTAATGATAGAGTATTTAGTGCACAATTTTTAAAAGTTGAAAAAAAAAATTATACTACATGAACGTTTAGGATTTCAGGCATTATTGAGCAAATAATTGAAAGGAAAAAATGTTCTTTAACCCCAAAAAAAACCAAAAAAAATATTTGTCATTTTTTATAATTTTTTTATCAACTAATGATTAAAGTTACTAGCTATCAACGTTAAGGATCATATTGCACTATTTTGAAATGTTGAAGAGAAATATTATACCACAAACAAGTTTAGAATCCCCAGACACTTTTAGATTTAAAATTTAGGGGCTAATTTTTCATTTAACTCATATCAATTTCATCAAAAAAAAAATTATCATCTTATTAAAATTATAGCATGTTCTAATACTTTGAATTTATATGCATGATGACTCAAATTAAGTCCATTATATGAATTAATAATTTTATTTCATTGTGTATTAATTGTTACGTCTATCTATTGTTGACAATTTTGTATATTTCAATTTCAAAGTGTAGTGTAAAGATATCCCATAAAAAAAATCTAAAAAAGCGCACAATAATAACAACATGAAGTTTTCCCCATGAAATCGTATAAACTAAAAGCTTTCCAGAAAGTTAATGATTAATGTTGTTCAGCACGCATGCATGGTTTGGTTATCTGTAGTAACAGCATCGTATATATACACTAACATGGCGGGAAGAAGACTTGTAATTGAAGGCTTCCAAATATATTTAAAATTGAATTCCATTACGTAAACAATATAATAAAGTCAAACCAATAAGGGCAAAATCGTAACTTGAAGGATCCATCGAATTGCCTTATATATACATATATATAGACATGCTACGGAAGCCATTGGCCATTGCTTTTATATCTCTTTGTATTGTGCGGGGTTTGAATATCTTACGTAACACTATAAGCGCCAAGAAGATGACCTGCTTTCACGGCTCACACGACCTTGTGATGTTTCTCCTTCTCTGCATCGTCCTCTTCCTTCAGTCTCCGGTGCCGGCATCGGCCGCCGGAGAAGACACCGAGCGAGATTTGTTCCAGTTACTGAGCAGAAAAGAGATGGTGCAGATGGCTGGATATGGAGAAGAGAAGCTTTCCACAGTCCTCGTGACGGGATCTGTTCATTGTGAGGCCCATGATTTGAATGGAAAAGCTGATCAGCAGATTCATGCATGGCCAATTCCAGGTACATAAACACATTTCAAGCCCTTCTGCTTATTTTTTCTTCGTCGATTCTGCAGTTTGTGCAGTATATATATGTTTATATATTTCAACGAACCTATGAACTGATCGATAACTGTCAAAGTATCGGCCTCTGTTCTCAATTTTTTTTCTCCCCACTCTCAGATTAAATACACTGGAAAAGCAAAAGAAGAGAAATTTTAGTTTCATTATTACTTTCTGTGTGTGTTGGGAATTATTTTTATTAGTTCCAAATGCCTTTATGGATGAAAGCAAACAAGACTATTGCTTCTGCGAAAATGTGGTTTGGAAAACACAACATTAGATATCCGCTTCAATCCAAAGACAGCATTAATTTTTTTTTTTTCCTTCGGTTCTTTTCTCTTCTCTTTAATCTGGATATATATGCTCCAAAAAGTGCTTATGATTTCTTTATAACGTTGAAAAAGGGTCTTATTAATTATATGATGTTGTGATTTTTGGTTATTATTAATATATGCTCGTATTAAAGGGGGAAAAAATGGAAAGAAGCTATGCTGTTATATCAGAGAGCTATATGCAAGCTAATCACTAATCATGTGTTTGCTTTAGTTTGGGGTGATTAATTCACTGCAACAGTTTGTGTATATATATCAGTTAATTAAGGATTATATATGTAAAGATTAAGCTGTTGGTAAAAGAATAACATTATGCTTCGAATTAAAGCAGTGAACAGTACTACTGGAGAATGGGAGAGCTGTTGGCGTTTCACTATTAATTTTGGTGAATGTTGAAAAGTTTTGCTTACTGGTTTTGGTGAAAACTTCAGTTTTGAAGAAGAAACTTATGTTGTCTCATATTCACTCAATCATATTGCAGATTATTAAGGCGTAAACTGATTCTTACATTAGATCAAAAAGAATTATATGCATGAAAGATAGAAAGAAAATGATAGCAAACCAAACAGAAATTTAAAAAAAAAAAGTTTAGTCAATATCATTAGTGGATACCATAGCAAGGAAATCATGCTCAACTCGCCTGGTTAAATTGGTAAATAGTTAAATTAGTATATTGATCTGTTTAATAAAATGCTTTATTTATAATCGGTCTGATTACAGTTCAATTATAATTTTAATTATTAATCATTGAACTAGTACTTTGATCACTTTAATGACTGGTTTGATTTTCAATACCTTGGTCAATATACATCCTTTCTAATTTTTAATATAAACTAAACTTAACCAACTCTATTTATTAAGCAATAATAGTTATATCCTTAATTAACCAAAACAAAAAAAAAAGATAATTATATCCTTATAATTATTAAGAAAATATGTAACTTCTAATTTTGCATAGCTCGAGTTCAAACCTAGTATTAACATATTTTGTGTATGTGCTTAGGTGTGTGTGTCTCTCTTTTCTGAGATAAGAGTAAGGTTGGGGGTAAAAATTTTAAAAATAAAGTACTTGGAAAAATGGTTTTAGTTTCTTTCTATACGCTACCACATTTATTAGTTTTGACAATTTACTTATTTTATCACTATTCAATATTGATGTACAAATGTAGGAAATTTTTTTAAGAATGCATTTAATATGGGCAACGTGGGAACTTCTTTGATTTTTTGACAAGGTTAAAGAGTTGAAATTTTCCTTGATTTTGGCTGGAAAAAAAAAGGTTGTACACACACACACACACACACACACACATATATAAGTATTGTCACGAAGAATTTGAGTTAATTCTGAATCTTAAGTAATACTGCAAATGAGACAACAACGGGAGCACGTGGTTTCTCTGAAAGAAAGCGATAATGTTCCATTGGTGATTTGATTTTTGTTTATATCATTAACGACACATCACTGAGAACAATAAGTATTGATTAGGAATAATAAAGGGTTTCAAAATCAAAGTTAATATTGGAAAACCCATAGCATTAAATTGACGACTATGATAGGTCACCAGCACTATCAGTCAGAAATTCAGAATTCAGAAATGTTGCCCCAAAAATAATTTAAAACATTTAAGTTTTGTTTGGTTAATTATACCATAAGAAAGGTCTCTTTTCTTCCTACAAAAAATTATGTATGCATTATTTATTAGATCATATTTGAATGATGGATCGAAAGATAAATATTCTCTATCATCTTTATAAAATAATGTTACTCATTTTAATTATTATTTGATATACTTATTTTATTATAATATTTAAAACTAGAGAAGGTAAGAATACTTTTCATCGACCCTCAAAAGTCAAAATCACTTTTTATTGAATTTTAATGTACCAAATAAGTCTTATATATTTATTTTAATATCAGCATTCAAATAATAAATATTTAGTTCTAAATCTACTTAAAACATTACTCATCTAACATGCTACGAGTTCATAATTTTCCAAATTCGTTAGAACCAAATTCATTAGACCCAAGCCACAGATCAAACTGTTAATTTGGTTCAAAATGTTATTTCTAGAGCAATTTAACTACTCAGCCGTTCTAAAATTTATGCAGGAGCTTCGGTGGCTGTCAACTGCCACAGCCATGGCAGCGAGTGGAGAGGAAAATCGACGGTAGCACGAGGCATAACCGATGAATATGGAGATTTCATGATCGATCTTCCTTCATACCTGCATGCAATCCCCAACTTGGAAAAAATATGCAGAGTGAAAGTTCATCAGATCCCAAAGAACTCACAGTGCCAACTAGCTTACGTCAAGAGACACAAGAAACTCAGATTATCAACCTTTGGGAATGGCATTCGCACTTACAGTGCTTGAAATTTGAGGTTCCACTATAAACAGAGAGAAAGGAATGAAGCGGATTAAATCAACCATGAACAGATATTTGTCTATGATTGGCCTGGTTTTCCCATGTTATGTAAATTAAACATGAGCATCTTAGTCTTACGAGGAAGAGTATCATGGCTCACTTAGATGGCGCTCTAGTCACAGTATTGAGTTGCATGGATTGTTAATATCATGGTGTATTTAAATAGCATATACTGTAATGCATTCCCTCCCCTGCTTGGAAAGAAAAATTGTAAAATGTATTTCCGTTGTATGAATCATGTCATGTTTGGATATGCAAATACTTCTGGCATTTTGTCATATAGAAGGCTAAAATGATTCTAAATTGATTCATTTGCTACTATTATCAATGAACAAGTAAAATTATGCAAACGCCAATCTTTGATAAGCTCATACATCTCAAGATTAAATGATTTCCATACGTGGTATTCTTCCAATCACTGCATCTATGAAACATTTTAAAGGTCAACAGAGTATTCCAGCCAGGCTGACCTATCTTCAACAAAAAAACAATCACTAAGATCTTTAAGTCTTCATCTATTCCAACAACAAAATACCTTGTTGAAGCAACAGATAGGTCAACCAACACACATAGTTGCAACTTGGCTAACTTAAAAGAAACTCTGATACCTCAGATATGAAACATTTGAATACCATGCCCAAGGAATATTGCCTAGAAGTCAGGGCTTTTCAACAACTTTCTGAGAAGATTCAGAGGATATGTATTTTGCAACATCAGCACAGCAAGTTAGCTTTTCTGCTTTCTCATCAGGGATTTCGATGGAAAATTCTTCTTCAAGAGCCATAATAAGCTCTACCCTGTCCAAGCTGTCAAGGTTCAGGTCTTTCTGAAAGTCAGCTGTTTCAGTAACCTACACAGTGAAGTACAAGTAGCATCTTTTATTGGTAGAGATCTGAGTTATGGGCAAATTTTCCACTTAAAGTCAACTTGGGGGAAATGAGCTAAAGAACCTTGAAAATAAAAATATCCAAGAAACGCCAAAATTACGTTTCCTACAGTAACACTGGTATCTTTATAATTACAATTCATATTCCTTGTAGTTACAAATCTACAACATTCTTATAACATGGAAAGACTAGGTTGTGAATTTTAAAAACATGACTGATTATTTTAGAAAGCGTTAATGGTAAGTTTTGTCCTCGAAAGAACTTTGATTTTGAATGTCTCTGAGAACAATCATTGTTTCCAAGTTTGGATTCAAACGTAAAATATTTCCCAACTATAGTGTGCCTTGTCTTGAAACAGAAACAACCCGTCTAAGTCCTAAGTTTTGTCTGTACCCCAAAAATAAATTTCCCATAGTGAGTATAAATAAAAACATTCAATAAGGCATTAATACTTAAAAGTAGAACCATATCATGTCCGATTCATTTCCAATACAACTCGACTTCATCTGGAAATGAAGCCTAGATAATGAAAGGCTCTAAGAAGACAATACATAGAAGGCATAATCAATCCAGCCACAGATTAAAAGTTAGCACTATAAAGTTGACACAAAATGTTAAATTGCACATTAATCATTAGTCTAATACCTTAGAAGCATTAATCCTATTATAATTCTTCACCAATCCAGTTACTCGATCAAGTATCATATCAGAGCTGGCATCAGTTGAGGAGTAAAGGCGTCTCAATTGCATTTGAACATTCTCATCCCTCGCCAAAAACCATCTTTCAGTTGACCTCAAATTTATATGTCTCAAGATAGACTTCCTTATGCTCTGCATATTCAAGAAACCTGCGAAGATCCAAACACTTTCAAATTGATGCAAGCCTGCTAATTGTATAATACATAAGATGTATAGTGAACAAGAGGAAATAAGAAGAATAGAAGACTTTTTATCTTTCCAATTGCTCAGAACAGTGCATTGATGCCTCCACATAATCAGCCATGAAACAAAATGAAACTAAGAAGACACTTATACATGATGCATTGCCAGGAGTGCAACTTAAAATCAATAAATAAGAGAATCACGAAAAACAAATTACACGTAAACAGATATTGTTCAATTGAAACTGAAGCTAGACTCTGGTTATGAAGTATGATCATAAGAGATTCTAGACAACTATATGACCAACATAATTATGGTTAGAGTGGCTCAAATGCCACCTCCAGTTTATCACTTCTCAAACAACATATTACTAGCTAAATACTATGAGAAGTAACTTTCATCTTCTAATTTTACAAAGGATTGTCCTAATTCCATGGCATCAAGAACTTCTAAGCCTTCCTACTGTGCAAAGCAGGAAACTTCGAAGAAAACCCCAAGGTGATTGCAGTTGCAGATGGGGAAGGACCTAGGTTAAAAGAAAAAAGAGCAGCCACACCCCTAAGTTTTGGTCATCTTCGAAATATGTTAGTACAATAATGGAGAATTTTATTTTTATTTTTTTTAGAAAAATTGCGATTTCAACCCCTAAAAATTTTTAAATTTTGCCCCTTTAAAATTTCAAACACTTCCCCCCAAAATAAATAAATCTAGTTCTGTCCCTTTGCAGAGGTAACTGCAAGTTTGAAACCACCACATGACAAACAAACTTTTATGTAAGCATGTTCTTCTGTAATTAGTTTAATCCATCATAACAACAGAAAATCAACTATAAAGATAAACTTTGATTTTATTCGTTTCTCAAAGAAAAAATTTAATGTGGGAGATAAATGGAATGCCCATAAAGTCTAGTGGAAACATGTTTTCTTAATTCAGATTTAACAAATTGTGATAACAATGTGTTACCTTAACAGCATGCTTGCATAATACAGATCGATTTGCCCCTATACCCAACCCAAGTTGCATGAGGCTTTCACAAGGACCAACTAGGGAGTTGGCAAGTGATCAAACTGGTAAAAGAGGGATAAAAAATGAAAGTGTTATATCCAACAGTTATGTGTTGGCCAAATCCAATGGGAGCTGGTAACAAACAGAACCACATGACATCAAGTGAGGGGCAGCTGAAAGACACTAAGACCCAGATGACATGAAAGGTGCTAAAATAAATGGGTCAGGGAACACCTCAAACAAAATCTCACGCATGCAGCCTATGGTTAGGTGTGCTTTTTTGTTCTATGCATAAGCCCATACTCCAAACTATTGCTCAAAACCATCCCTAAGAGTTCCAAACGCAAGGACTATTTACTCTTTATGATTCCTCATCAAATAGGAAAGTCTACGTATAAGCACACTAGACTCTGAATCACGGGCACTCCAGAAAAAGGCGTTGTTCTCATACACATGTGAAACAATAATCAGACACAACAGAACACTTTAAATCACATATGAATAATGCGTTGCCGTGTCCGTGGTGGCGTCATGTCCCATGTGCCAGTATCAGAGTCCACAAAACACAAATAACATTTTCAAATTTCAAAAGCCAGGTGTAATTTGAGCTTCTTAGGTAAATGAGTGAGCAAATATGGTGTTTTCTACACAACAATATCATTCAATTCGTCTCAATAGAAAACAGACACAGGCGTCCAGAAAAAGAAAAGAATCAAAAATTAAATCAGTAGAGTATTGTGGGGAAAACAAACAAGAAGAGTTATGCAAAGCATCAACAGTTTCAAATGAAGGATTCATATCATGCCGAGTCATCCAAACATGTTATCCTTTCAAGCACAGACTACATATAAGTTCAGTAGGTCTAGCATGGGCGGTCGAGTATAATTATGAGCTTCCTAAACACACATGTGAGCAAACTATGGTGCTCAGTATATTTCTAGAAAGCAATCTCATTCAGTCAACATCAATGACACCGAAAACAGAATCAGGACAACGACAATCAGAGACTAAATGAGTAGAGCAGAGAAAAAATCAGGCATAGTTGAAGATAGGAGACAGTAGGTAGTGCGCACCAAATAGGCAATTAGAGAGGATAAACGAAGGCGGAGGAAAGCAGAGAAAGCAATGGACACTCACGAGATTCGCCTAAGCGTCTGGGATTTTGGCAGGGATCTGCACAATGGTCGGTTAAGTGTTCGACGAATTGCACAAGAGACAGTAACTCATTGTCTCATTGTTCGCAGGACCCGTCTCGTTGTCTTCTTATTAAAAATATAAAATTTTTAAAAATATTGTTCTAAATTTTTTTATAACATTTGACTTATTTAAAATATCATTTGTTCGATATTAATTAAGGTGTAAATGAAAAAAAAATATAACATCCAGCTAATATTTAATTATTTATATTTTAAATCATGCAAAATTTTTAAAGAGTGGAAGAAAATTGTCATCTGACCCATATCTATACAACACATATTATTAATTTTTTATTACAATTTTTTGTTTAACTCATTAAATATTAATAAAAGAAAGTATTATTTAAAGTATACATAATTAATAAGAATAAAATTAAGAATTTATTAAATTTTTAGATAGAGGTAATAATTCTTTGTAAGAATTTCCTTTGTTTGGCCGAAAAATACTGAGAATGATTTATTAAGAAATTATTAACAATTTATAAAGATTGGGATATTCTGTTAAAAATGGTTATTCCTTCTAAGATTTTAAAATTAATTTCAACCAAAATTTCTTATATAGTTATCTATTAGTATTGGGTTGGATTTTTTTGTTTACCTCGTTACATGTTAGTGAAAGAAAATATGTATAAAAATATACATATTTAATGATATTAAAGTTAAAAAATCATTAAGTTCTTAGACAAGGTTATTATTATTAATATCGTTAGAAAACTGTTCTCCTGTGGAAGTGTATGAAATTACGACTAGTTTATTTTGTAACCATGTTTATAAATTGGGAATGTTATAACTTGCTTTTAAATTTTTTTATGTATAAACATACGAAACACATATCCAATTTTTATTTATTGTAAAAAAATTGAGAAATTAATTGTATCATAAATAGTATATAAGATACTGCAAATTTTATATCATATACTCCATTCATTTAAAATTATAAGATATTTTTAAAAGAATTAAATATTTAAAACTGTAAGATATTTTTAATCTTTCGATATATAATTGTTACTTTTTTTAAAAAAATATCTCTATTAATAATAACTTTATATTTATTATAAAATATTTAATAGGGATAAATATAAAAAATAAAATTAATTTAAAAATAGATAATATTTTATTAATGAATAAAATTTAATTAAAAATATTTTATATTTTTAAATAAAATGAGTATGACATGACATGACCGACCCTCTTCTTCTTCTTCTTGGGTAATTACCCTTAGCCATGAAATGAGGTCAATTTTGATTTAACAAAAGTGGGGCGAAAAACAGAATGTAGAGTGACTGGGACGTCTAGCTCTAGCCCACAAACATTTACAAATGAAAATATTTCTAGCCGCCCAGCCTACAGACACAGGATTTTTTTCTTTCTTGGGAAAAATCCATGAAGAAATAGATTTTCTAAGATTTCTCTTGTACAACAAATCTATTTGAGATTATCAGTGCTGGGCATGAGACAAATTTATTCTGATTCTGATTTAAATTTTTAGACAACGATTTAATATACTATTAATTGTAAAGAAAAACAATTAAAAAATTATATATATTTAACAATTTTGATGATATACAATAATTGTTTTTTAATGAGCAAGAAGTTTAGTAAATTTGTCCTATATATTAAAGTCTGGAAAAGGCAGGTGAAAAGTAATCCTTCCTCATCAGTAAACCTGGTAATTTAACCATGGTGTGGGGACTGAGAAACTTTCAAATCTTTAATGGTTAAAATGATTGCCCATGAAACTTGTTGTTTACCAATTTGTCTGAGTGGTACTCCCGGATTTTCAATCAAATTTCACCCATAATAAAATAATTATTTAATTTTAAATTAATCTTATCTTTTTATATTTATTCTTATTAAACATCCTATAATAAATATAAAGTCACTATTAATAAGGACACTTTAAAAAAAAGTAATGATTACACCTCAAAAAATTAAAAATATCTTATATTTTTTAATATTCAACTTCTTTAAAAAATACTTTATATTTTTTTAACGGAGAGAATATATATTTGTTGTAAGATCTTTCAATTAAAAATAAAAAACAAAGGAGGGAGAGAGAGACTTAACCTTGGCACAATAATGAAGTTGTTGCCATGTGATCACTCTGGTAGTCACAAGTTTGAGTTGAGTAGTTGAAGCAATCTCTTGCAAAAGTATATGTATAATAAACTTGAAGTGGAAAAAAATAATATACTTAAATTAATGTAGCCAAATAAAACTTAAATTCTTATTAAAAAAATATTCACATTTAACAAACAGCCATGTTTCAAGTAAAATACATTTGTATGTTAATCGGGGTGAACAAAAGGAATAGAATGTGATACATGGAGGTGATATGATGTCTATAAAGAGCCAAAGTCCTGAATTAATATGACATAACATAAAGAGAAGCCTTCAAAATTCAAATTTATCAATCATACCCACCAATATTAATCAATCTATAGCCCTATTACTATTTGTAGATCCTTTGAATTTGTGCAATTTGCGTGTAACTGGAAATAATGTGATCAAAGGGGTCAAATTTGTATGAAATTTATTTCTTTGACTTTTAAAAAACAGGTATTTTCAATTTTCAACTCAATATTTTGATTCCTTGAAGTATTTTAGAAAATATTTTGCATTTCAATAGCTGTTGAGTAGATCACTCAAAAAAAAAAAGTTGCTGAGTAAATTTACAGATAATTGACAAATGACAAGAGCTTATTTCATATTACTGTGGATTTATCCTCTTTCAGATTACATGAGGTGAATTTCATGCCGTAAATGAAAAGAAAGAGGATATTGACCATTTATTCATTTCACGATTAGAAAGAGAGTAGCGTACAAAAAATCTTATTATCTGCAAATCATATAAACATTTTTTATATAATAAAAAATTATTTTACAATTTAAATCTTAAAGTTCTTACTTCATAGTGGATGAGGAGCCTGGATTCCATACAGTAAATTTCTTTCATTTTTTATTGTAACAATAAAAAATTTAGACTTTAAAGAGTATGAAAAAGGTTTATGTGTTTTGTAGATTATAAGATTTTCTATGCACCAATCTCTTATTAGTTACTCCTTCCATTTAAAAATAAAAAATATTTTTTAAAAAATTAAATATTTAAAAATATAATGCATTTTTAGTTGTTAATCATTACCTTTTTTAAAAATACCTCTATTGATAATGAATTTAAATTATTATACGGTATTTAATAGGAATAAATATAAAAATATAGGGTTAATTTGAAAGTAAGTAACTATTTTATTGAAGTAAAATTTAATTAAAATATCTTATATTTTTTAATGAAGGGAATATTAGATAAAATGAACGGTTAAGATCCTGATACTTTTCATCCATTGTCAGTGCATGTGATCTAAATCCTTTATCCTCATTTTAAAACCATTCTCTCAAGTAGGGCTATGCAAAAGTCTCGTGGTCTCGTTCAGTCCGGTCCGACTCATGAAAATTCGGTCCTGTCCAATCCTGTAAAATGCTGGTCCTATAGGACCAAAAAGACTAAAAAGACAGGACTGATTTTTCAGGTAAGACCAGACCAGAGACCAAGCATCTAGACTAAGTGGTCCGGTTTGGTCCTATATAATTATTTTAATATAATTAAAATTAATTTATAAATTATTAATTAATAAGCCTTAGAAAAAAAGTCTTAATCCTGTCTTGCACTTTACACTTTGATCGAGAAAAAAAACCTCAACATTGTTACTCAACAGCACTTAGCGTCTCAACCATTCACTCAATTTTGCTCTCATTCTCAATTTCTTCAGTGCGTCAAAGCCCTAGCTCCTGCCTTGCACTTTGCACTCTGATCTTGATCTGTTCGAACTTTGAAGGAACATGTCTGTGGGCTGATTTTTATTACTTTTGTTCTTGCTGATTTTTTTCTCTGGTCTATTTTTGGTCTTTCTCTGATTTTTATGAAGTTATGTATTTAAATTATTTGGAGTTTGGACTGTAACTAAAATATTATTTTCTTGGTGTTAGAAATTATTATGAATTATTTATAATTATAAGTGTTTTTATTTTTTTAATTGATTTGTTAAGTTGAAATAGATTATTGGTCATCATAGAGAAAAAAAAGAAAAAAAAAAGCCAAATGAGTATTGCACTAACAGGAGCCGTCTTTCAATCCTATAGACCAAGTCCAGTCTTGTTAATCTTCGAGTTTTTACGGGACCAGACCAAACTATG